GCTGCCTGCAAAGTCATTGCCTCATACGGCAGCGAGGCAGCAAGTCAGCTGCCTAAGTTTTCGGATGCAGCCTGAGATTGCTAGTGCTGTCCTAAAATTCGCAACGGTTGTGATGTAATTATATAATAGGTTGTAGTCTGACGCACTACACGTCTGCTGTTACAGTACTGTTTTTAGCTTCGATTCACTGTTAGTGCATTTGGGAACGCAACATTCGTCATTAGAAATGTTTATACAAATCTGTTGTTGTTTAAAAAGAGAAGTTTCAGTGTCACATAATCCTTCAGAAATAATTCTAATATGCTGATTTGCTGCTCAAGAAACATTTCTCATTATTATCAATGTTAAAAACAGTTTTGCTGCTTAATATTTTTGTGGAAACAATGATACCACTCAAACATTTGTATAAGATTTAAAAAAGAGAGAGAAATTAATAATTGAATTCATCATGCATGAAAGTGATAAAAAGTGAGTGAAGACTTTTAAAATGATTTCTATGTAATAAATGCATTAGCAAATTTAATTAATATATTTGATAACTGCAAATAAATGCTGTTAATTAAACTTTCTATTTATCAAAAAATCCTGAAAAAGAAAGTGTATCACCATTTCCACACATAATATAAAGCAGCAAAATTGTTTTCAACATTGATAATAATCAGAAATGTTTCTTGAGAGCCAAATAAATTATGATTTCTAAAAGTTCATGTGACACTGAAAATTGGAGTAATGATGAAGAAAATTTTGCACCACAGGAATAACATTACATTTTATAATATATTAAAATTGAAAACTTTTTTTTACATTTGTAATAATATTTCACAATATTGCTGTTTTTTTTTTAAACTTTATTTTGATCAAATAAATTCAGCCTTGATGAGCAGAAGATATATATTTCAAAATCATTAATAATTGTAATGTTTCCAAACTTTTGGTAGGTGCTTTAATAATAATAACAATTCTATATACTTTACTATAATACAGGTGCATCTCAATAAATTAGAATGTCGTGGAAAAGTTCATTTATTTCAGTAATTCAACTTTTCATTATAATATATTATATTATATTGTTATCATGATTATTAAATGCTGCTTTTTATTTTTTACAGGACAATAGTATGTATTATTAAAATATAGGATATATCTTTTAATGTGCTAAATATATATTTTTAATAATAAGTGCTGGGGGTGTGGCTTGTGGGCATGGTCAGATTTTCCTTCTTTTTTGTCTCTAGCTGATCACATGCCTGATTGTTGTTTTTGTGTTATTGATTATAATGTATGTGCTGCCGCAGGATCCACACAGACCAGACACATCCCGGACCACGGATCTGAAGGCCTGGCTCTCTACAGCGTTTCCAAACTTCTGCTTATAATCAGCTCTGTGTGAGTATTCGCAGTGAGAAACCAAATCACAGGACTTCTTTTCTCCACTCCTTTTCTCCTAAATTGCTCATTTTAGCAAATAATGTCTAACTGCAATATAAAACTGACACATGCATCTCATTTAAAAGTGTCATGTGAAGGAAGTTTCCTGTTATTAAATACAAGAATATGATGTATACATAATATAGCATGCTATAAATGTATAAACTAGGCCTCTTTAAAGTCTTCATTGCATGTTTCATTCAGTGTCTACTTTGGTCTGATAGTCTTCATATTGCACCCTCTGTTATATTTTTAGAAGATTAAAAGGTTTCTTTGTTTATTTCACATTTCTTAGTGACTGTACAAGTAACTCACACTGTTGATCAGCTGGAATTCGTTGCATTCTGTTGTTCTTTGGCTTCATGTATTTTCTCTCTCCTGTTTTCATTGCATCCTGCAGGATTTGTGTAAGGTATTCGATGTTTTCATCTGTATGAATTTGAAACTTGTTTAGCTGCTTTAGGATTAATGCATTGCCGTTCATGAGCTAATCTGAGTTTGTCCTCTTCTGCTCTTCAGTCTGGTGCTACTGGTATTTTTGAACATGATGCTGTTTTATAAGCTATGGATGCTGGAATACACGGCTCAGAGTCTGACCGGCTGGCAGGGTCTCAGGTCTCTTGAAAGGTACAGTAACTAGACCTTTGAATGTGTTTATTTGTTCTTTTTTAGAGATGGAATATGAGGTTTTTCAAAACTCCTAAACTTTGGCGTATAACTCGTCCTGCACCGTTTGTGCCACTCTGCATAAAATCTTTTAAATCTGTTTTGTTTTGTTTTTTAAGTACAACATCAAATTAATTGAGCAATATTGCATAAGTTCTTACCTCATTGCCCAAATGTTTTTTTTTTAAATACACTCAGTCTACATTTTCTGTCTTTTTCAGATTTTGCTTTTCAAGTCTTTTTATTTTTTTGTTGTTGTTGCATTTTTACCAGAACACAAGAGGAAACACTATTCATAAATAAACTGATTTTTGCAGCATATGAACTTGAATGATACTTGTGTGAGGAATGTTTTTGGCTCTGTGTGTGTTGCAGTAAACTTCCACAGACACAGATTGAATGGGCTCAACTTTTGGAATCTCAGCAGCGTTACCATGAAAACGAGCTGGAAAAATGGAGGGAAATAATAAAGTCATCTGTACTGTTATTAGATGAGGTAAGATCAAGTTCAAGTTTGAAAAATGGGGAACTTTTATAACTGCATCCTATTAACTCTTTACCCGCCATTGACGAGTTATCTCGTCTTTTAAAAGAAAACGCTTCCCCGCCAAAGACGTTTTACGGCTTTTCGTGTTTTCACTGTTATACACTCGGGGGCGCTATTACGCATCTTCTGAACGAGTACAAAACCTCCCGAACAAAAACAGGACGGAAAAACTAGAGATCTCTTATGTAAACAGATGCATATGAAAAATAATGCGATCATCAGCAATAGACAGCATATAAATGAAAACTGCATAATGTTTCACGAGTAAAATGTTGATCCAGGAAGTGGTATATGTCTGTGCAAGCTTTGGAGGTGTTGATGGAAGCGATTTACTGGATTTATGCTTTGATAATCGTACTGAATATTATCCAGATGTAGTTTTTAATAAAAATTTGATTTTCTCACGTTTTTGCTCAAAATTATGCATTTTTATGAAACCTACCTATATTCAAGTGTTGATAAAAAAAGAATGCTTTAAGCTAGAATAAAACAGAGTAGAAAGTAGAGGCTCTGATCTTTATTTTGGTGTATTGCATATTCAAATATTCATACAG